ATATATTTAATATTTCCATAGTTTTAAGTATTAATGAGATAATGTTCCTTGTTTTCATGGGCCAAGTAGAAGAGTTATATTCTTTTAATATATAATTATTTAAGAGAACTTTTTTCATTTTAAAATGAAATTACATTTTAATGCACAGTAATTTTTATATATATAATTTTTGAATTTTTTTAACTAAGATTCTAATCGTTTGTAAATGGTAAGATAGTTTTAGTGCTTGATGACAAATTCTAAAAGATTAACAATTCAATTACAAATTTGTATTATAAGATCCTATTTGAAAACAAAAATTTAGGAAGCCACATATATATTAAACCAAATTTTAATTATAATATAATTTATCTATTAAAAATATTATTATAAATTTAAGTTATATTAAATAAATATTTGTTATGTGAATTCAGCATATTAAAATACTAGTTATAATTACAAATTCAAAATATAACTAGGAAAATATAAAAATAAAAATAAAAATTAATGACTACTTAGTGACTAGAATCAAATCAATCTAATCCTTATTAGACTATTTGGATTAGCAAAAATAAAAACTCAAAAATTAAATCAATACAATTCAATACATTATTAAAAATATGAGGAGGGTTTAAACACCAGAAGGATATTTAGTTAATCAAATTATTATAATACTAGTTGTTGGAAATATGAAGAGATTAAACATGAGAGAAATCTTTATGGTAAATTATTGAATAAATCAAGTAAACTTAATACCGTATCTTAACTCAAAACTTTAAGACATAATGAATATATTTTTTTTTCATTTATATATTATTAAACATGGTGAATTATGTGAAGATGTGGGTTAAGTAGTTTGCCACTAGACCACCTTAAAAAATATTTTATTACTTTTACGTTAAATATTTTTTAAGAATAATATAATTGGTTTTAATATTTAAAATATGCAATAAAAAATGAGCCCCTTCACAATTTTTAGGGTAAAATAATGCAAAGAATAAAGGCATGTTACACCTCTATTGTGACAAGACGGACAACAACACCAAATATCGTTATAAACTTTGTTTACTACCATAGTTTTAGTTGTGTGATTTTATTTTGTAAGAGAGCATCCACATTGTAACAACATTGAACTTGATCTACTTAGACTCTACATCATTAAGTTAAGATGTATTTGTATTATCATTCAATTACATTCAACGTTAAAGCTATACAAGAGGCCATTTATATTGAATGTGCATTGGAATGTGAGATCATAGTAAAACAAATACACACTTAGTAATTTTATTTCAAAGGAGAACATTGGCGGTAGTGGCAGTGTTTGATCATGATAGCACCAATAATGGGTATGAAATTATATGAAAAAATAAAACTCTAACCCACTTATCTATCCTCCCATGTCATCAACATGTTGTATTCTTAACACCAATCCATGTTCCCTTGCTTCTAGTACTATGGCTTGGTTGTTTGTAGCACCAAATGGTGATAAGGATGCTACAAACGCCTTCTTGTGCTACAAATGACTAAACGATGCTACTGAAACAAAGTGTTGCAGGAAAAAGAAACGGATGGAGGTGGGGTGGACCATCCTCCAAAATCGCAGTAAGGGGCACAACGGAAGGACTCGGAGGAAGGAGCATTATGGCTTGTCTGATGAGAAGGGAAGGAATCAGGAGCATCTCACTTCCTTTTTCTTTACAAATTTCCTGAGATCTTATGGCGCGAAGGAGATGTGGCATGAGTTCAGTCGTCACGTAAATATCAAGGAAGTGTTTATTTCGGTGAAGGTGGACAAACGCGGTGAGAGGTTAGGCTTTGCTCGATTCTCGGAAGTGAAAGATGCAAGGATAATGGCTCTAACCTTGGATAAGATTTTTATACAAGGGAGAAAAATTATGGTTAATCGTCCTCGTTTTCAAAAGGGCGTATGGGAAAAAAAACAAGTAAATGTATCAAGGAGGCATAGAATAGAGGCGAATGAGAGGAAACCTGCTTTTCAGCAGAGGAGGTGGGATCCAGGCGCTAAAAAGGGTGCAGAACAAAATGAAGGAAGAACTAAAAGTAGTCGTCCATCTGTGGACTGTATCTTCAAAGCGTGCCCAAAAGTGAAGGAGGGGTTAGAGCGTTCTTTTGTGGGGCGTGTAAAGCGTAAGGGGGATGCATATATAACACAGAAGAAACTTCATCTCGAAGGGATCTTTGGGATTCGAGCAACTCTAATGGGTGCTTCGATGGTTTTACTCGAAACGGAAGACCCTAAATTAGTGGCAAAATACATCAGTGATAAAGTTGAATGGGTAAATGAATGGTTTGAGGAAGTGTTTCAGTGGTCTCGGATTTTAGACAATGAACGTCTCGTTTGGTTAAAAATTTACGGGGTGCCGGCGCATGGCTGGTCAGAGGATTTTTTCAAAATGCTAGGTTCTATCTACGAAAAATTCTTGTATGTGGATGACCCAACCAAGGACAGGGTACGCCTAGATTTAGCTCGTTTGGCGATTCGTACTAACATCCAAGACATCTTAAACCACACAGTGAGAGTAGAAATCGATGGGGTTATATATCAAATACGTATTGCTGAGGAAGGAATGGAGATTTCAGAGGTGTCGTATGATGGCAGATGGTTACACGGTGTAGAGGAGGTTAAGGGGGCAGTCAGAGATCATTTTCAAAGCTCCTTTAAAAAGGAATAACATAATAGGCCTTTGTTGGAAGGAATCTCTTTTCCTTCTCTCTCGATTAATGACCAGAACACCATCTCCTCACCTTTTACTAGAGAGGAGATTAGAGATGTTGTGTGGAGTTGTGCAGTGGGGAAAAGTCCGGGGCCAAACGGATTTGGGTTTGATTTTTTCAAACAGAATTGGGAGCTAGTGCAGGAAGACATATACCAAGCAGGTATGGAATTTTATTCAAATGTCATTTTGCCTAAGACAGTTTCTGCTTCTTTCTTAGCACTCATCCCTAAGGTGTTACATCCTATTTCCTTAACTGAATATAGACCCATTTCACTTATTTCTAGTGTGCACAAGATTATCTCAAAGGTCTTGGCCGCAAGGATGAAATTGGTGATTGGATCGGTCATTTCAAGGGTTCAAATAGCCTTCGTTCCTAGGAGACACCTTTTGGATGGGGTTCTAGTGGTCAATGAATTAATTGATTGGGCAAAGAGAAATAAAAAAGAAATGTTTTTTGTTTAAAGATGATTTTCATAAAGCCTACGATTCTGTAAATTGGGCATTTTTGGATTACATGTTAGATAAGTTGGGTTTTGGATTATTGTGGAGAAAATGGGTGAAGGCACTAGTTCAAACTAGTTCTCTTTCTATGTTAGTAAATGGGTCTCCAACAGAAGAATTTTATGTGGAGAAGGGACTAAAACAAGGGGACCCTCTTGCCCTTTTTTTATTCCTTCTAGTGGCAGAGGGCTTGGCAGGACTATGAGGAAAGCTGAGGAGAAAAATTTGTTTAAGGGGGTCGCCATTGTTGAGAACATTAATTTTTCTTTATTGCAATATGCAGACGAGGCTGTGGTGGTTGGTGATATTTCTTTCTAGAATTTGTGGACCTTAAAGGCAATTTTTAGGGGGTTTCAACTAGTCTTTGGCTTGAGGGTGAATTTTGATAAAAGTCTTTTGTGTAGTGTTAATTTGGATCCTAATTTCATGCAAGCAGCTCAAATCTTCCTGCATTGTAAAACAACTCCTCTTCCTTTTAAGTTCTTGGGCATTCCGGTTGGGATTAACCCAAGAAAAAAAAGCGCCTGGGAAAGTATTATTAGAAAGTGTAAAGAGAGGTTAGCTGGGTGGAAAGCTAGAAAGTTGTCTATTGTTGGGAGAGCAGTGATGATTAAATCTGTTCTTAATGCCATACCAGTTTTTATGTTTTCCTTCTATAAGGCCCTTTGTAAAGTTGTGAAGGAGTTGAATAAGATTAAGAGGAAATTTCTTTGGCTTGGGGGATTGGAATCTAAAAAAGTTAGTTTGATTAAATAGATCAAGTTGTGTCAACCAAGATCTAGGGGAGGTTTGGGGATTAAAAGTTTAACTAATTTTAATGTTAGCCTTCTTTTGAAGTGGAAATGGCATTTTTTGGTAGATAAACATGCTCTGTGGTATGATCTGCTGGAATATAGATATGGCAACTTGCAGTTTCAGTCTTCATCAATTCTGGCATCCTCCTCCCTGTGGTGGGGAGATTTGTTTCTGTTGGACAGAATTGGGGAAGGTTTCTTAATTTTATCAACACTTAAAGGTTGTGGTGGGGATTGGAAAAAATTATTTCTTTTTGGTCCCATCCTTGGGTGGGTACACATTCCTTGAAAAAGTTATTTTTCTAGACTATTTTCTATTGTTGCGGATAAAAATTCAAGTATAGAACAGATGGGTGTTTTGTCTGAAATTGGGTGGAGATGGGTGTGGAATTGGCATAGACCTCTCTTTCAATGGGAGGAGGATTTGCTACAAAATATGCTTATGATTATCTCTGGTTTTTATCCAAACGTGGGGGTAGAAGATGCCTGAAGATGGGGTCCTAGAAGTTTCTTTAATGTATCTGACACCTACAATTTACTTATTTCTTTGGATCAACCCATTCTGGATGAGGTGACAAATCTTTTGAGCAAGCTTTGATCTTCCTTTGTACCTCCTAGGATTATTTTCCTATCATGGCGCATGCTTCAAAATAGAATCCCCACAATAGATTAATTGATTGTTCGAGGAATGACTTTTTTTGATCCACACCTATCATGTCCATTTTGTTCTAGTACTTTGGAATCATCACAACACTTATTTTTGGAATGTGATTTTTCCATAAATGTCTAGCATAATGTTTTTATTTGGTCAGGGATCCGCTTGGAACTTCCGTCCTCTCTGGGTCATTTGTTTTTCCTCCTCATGAGCATGTTTCTTGGTAAAGCAAAAAGAAAATGGAGGGATATTTTTTGGCATGCAACAATTTGGGTTTTTTGGACCAACAGGAATGAAATTGTTTTTAAACACAAAACGATGTTGCATTTTGATTTTCTTTATCAAATTAAAATTATTTCCTGACATTGGTGGATGTTTAGGAATGATTGTAGGCCAGGTTTTACTTTTGCATCTTGGTGTATTGACCCATGACTTTGTATTTTGGAGAGTTAGCTAGTGGGTTACTAATGTATTTCCTTTTAAGTTTAGGCAGTTTTGCTTATGGGAGATCCGTGTTCTACTTTGTGTAGAACTTTTGTATAACCTATTTTATTTTTTTAGTTTTATTAATATATGAGATGTGCCTTTAAATTCAATTCATCTAATATCATTGATGGGCAAAGTAAGTGTGTGTTTGAAATAACATTATTTACTTACATTAAACTTAAAAATCACGTTAGAATTGATAATAGATGCAGAAATTATAAATATTTGTTTCTTCCAAAACATATATTTAAGTTAATATGATATGGTTTCAAATACACGCTAAGAGTCAAAAAGGTACAATACTTTAAAGGTCAAAAAAATCATTGAACAATATATTTATAAATCAACAAATTTTAATTAAATCAATTATTTTAAACTAAAAAAATCACAACCACGAGATTTTTAAAAATAAATCTAATGGTTCAATAATATACTTGGCTCACTCATAAATTACATGAAGAAAATATCATATTTAAGGTTCATTGGTGAACCACTGAACATGAGTGGTAACTTAAAGAGTACTAAACTATTCAACTCTATCTAATGTCAAAATCTTATTTGCACTTGCACACCAACACATATCAACATTCATAATTTAAAATATTTATGACAAATTTTAGTTATCACGTTTAATATATAAATTAAAATATGAATTTATAATATAAAAGACATGTACCAAAAGGTACTATATCATATCCGGTTGACTATTCAAACTGAAGATTGGATCTTTAATGCTAAAAATGGTTTAAAATATTTTATTTAACTAGACTGGAATTAAAAAGGTCTATCAACTGTTACTTTCTTTTGCTTGGTGCACACTACTTCAAACAATATGATTAACTAAATATAGTTCTTATTAGTTTTATTTTAAAGTTTTTTTTTCTGATACATTTATGTCAAAGTTTTCTAATGTTGCACCATGTCAAAAGGGGATATTGCTCAGTTCACCAACAAAACCGGGTTGATAACATCCTCCGGATTAGGAAAATTAAATTTTTTCATAACTCAATTCAAAATTTTTTTTTTTCCAAGGCACTCATTTACGGAATAGATAATCCGGAAAGATATTATTCCAAAATAGATATTCTAAAATTAGTGTTTTAAAAGTATGTTAAGGATAATTTTTTTTTTCATGAAGATGATTCACACAGCAAGTTAAATGTGTTAAAGTTGATGATCAACAACTAATTTACATTCATGAAAAGTGACTTTCTAATGGTTAAACATTATTTTAATGAAAATAGAATCAAGCCCATAAATAAAAAATATGCTTCTAATATAAATCTAAAAACATATATATACACCCACTATATTAATAATACATTCTCATTATACTTTTTTTTTCTCCAAAATGTTTTTAATGTTTTTTGATTTTTCAATTTCTTGACTTTAAGGTTTAACTTTTTTTAAAACCCACTCCTATACTTTTTTACATGCATCCCTTTTTTACCCCTTTATCTTCCATTTTTTTTTCCTAAAGCATTCATCCCTTCTTTCATTCTTTAAAATTTTAAAATGGACTAAAATTTTATAATTATAATGCCTCTTCTAAAACATATAATTTTAAGATTCTCACGCAATCTTCTTTTCACACACATCCAATTTTTGTGACATTAATTTTAATGTTAAAAAACTTTTAAAAAAATACTTTATTATTACATAAAATACTTTCATAAGGGATATTTTTTACGAGGGGAGTTATAATTACACCGGTGTAACTTTTACTAAGTATTATATTGTTTAATAACTTTATATTAAATGTGAATTTTGTAAATCCAACCGTTAGATTGAAAATTCATATCTATTCTATTATGTATACAAAATTTTATATTAATTCAAGATAATTTGATACTTTATTTTTATAAAACAAAATTGACGTAATATATTTATTTCAAAATACACTAAAATATGAACGCTTTGATTACCTTCAAGTTGTTCAATTTTAACAAAATTTAATATACACACATAAAATGATATGAACTTTTAATCTAACGGTTGAATTTACAAAATTCATAATTAATATAAAGTTATTAAATAATGTAATACTCAGTAAAAATTACATCGATATAATTATAACCCATATATATATATATCAATTATTTACTTACAAAATTTTTCTTTAAAATTAAACATTTGAAATCTTAAAATTTGAAGAAAAGAGATGCGTGTTAAAAAAGCGAATGCTTAAAAAAAAATTGAAGATTGAAATCAAAAGGACACGAAGGCTTGTGAAAATGAATTAAGTACTTAAAAAGTGAAAAAATGAAACAACGAAACAATGAAACAACGAAAAGAGAAGTTCGTTAAGTTAAGAAATTAAAAGATAAAAAATATCAAAGATATTTTGAGAAGAAAAAAAAGGTATAATAGAGGCATATGATTAATGCAAGGAGGAGCCACTAAAAACTACCAAACTTATTTGATCCAATATTTTTATTTTAAGTTTTTCTTAACAAAAATTATACAAACTTCGGTAAAAAATATAAAATAAAAAATTAACCCATACCAATGAAGAAGACCGAGCTAACAAAATTTGAGTGAAAAAAATTGAGTCAAAAATTTTGAGCTTCATGGTAATTTTGCTACCCCTTGTTTTAGGATAAGGCATTAATGAATATAAAATTGACCATTTCATTTAAACACACCTACCTATGTAGCCTTTCAAAAGGTAGCAATATTATTTGAGCCACAGTAACTCTAAAATTATAGCATTCACTTTCACGCACTTATAGCCTTTTTGTATACTGCTAGCTCTACTTTTGTAGCAAACAATTCTCATTCTCTATTTAAGTCACAATGCCACACCAGAAAGTTCAAAGCTAGCTGCTAGGGATATTCTTTCGCAGCTAGTAGCACCCCTAAAGCGTCCTTGTTTACATATTTAGGTACTAGCTTATCATAACACCAATATGCTGCAAGTAAACTAATGAGGGTATAAACAATCATTTACACCATTACACACTCAAGTCCCTCTTAAATATTGTAACTTCTTTCAACACAAGTTGCCGTTTGAAACTTGGGAATGGCATGGGAGAGTCAGCTTTTACATGAGACAAGGGTTTCTCCTAAGCTGCAGAAGATGCAGTAAAGGACATAGAACATCCATTCTGTGAAAACCTCTTGGAACCTGTGCATGACAAAGAAAACATACCTTAGTATTTTGCTATAAACAAAAGAGAAATGTTACATATACACTCTCGTAAACATGTTTTCTATTATTAACTGAAATTTATAGGAAATCACACATTTTGGTTGATTCTGCTTATCTTCTAATAAATCTCTCCTTATTTTATAAATTTTAATAAATTTTAACCAATAATAATAGAATGTGTGTTGGAAACAGAGTCAGAGAGTATGTTGCTGGCTAGCATACATCCAAAACTAATTTAGTGCTCGGATAACTCTTGCACCCTTCCAAAAGTACAGTCAGAATGAAAGATATAAAAAATATTTTTCTTTAAAATGTGTCAAGCAAGGGAAAACACGTTTAAAATCCGTTTGAAATACAAGCTTAAAAGTGTTTATAAGATATTATCTCCTGAAAATAAATATTTTTTCCAATAAAAAAGCTATCAGAAGCCCTTCCTTGTATTCAAACACTCTTAGAATGATTATCCAAATTCCATACATGCATTTGGAGGACAAATTAGGCATATTTTGCTACCTCAACAATGAAACAAGCCCAGTTGTTGCTTGAACGATTTTCCAAGATCCCTTTTAAGATGGTAACATCCAGCTTTCGGATCACTTGAGCAATCTCCAAGAAAAGTCCATGCTCATTGCATATCATCTATTACAAAAGTGGTGAGCAGTTCAATAAATGCAGTTTTTGTATGCAACTTGTTTTGAAAATTGAGTCAAGTGTGCATGGAGAAAAAATTAACATACCTCTATGAGCATGTGCCCTGAGCATTCCAGATCTTCTATGACTATAGGCCATGCTAGTTCACTTTCGAAGTCAAACGCACAGCTTCTTCCTGGTTGGCTACCATTGATTTTCTGTCTTTTGCACTCAGGAACCTAGACACCAACTTGTCCATGTCAAGCTTAATCAAGCTGTAGTAACAGATTTTAGGTGCATTTGGATGAATAGATTAATTAAGAACACAAGTGTTTATCATGTATTCGCTTATGCATAAGTAGTTTCAAAGATATAAGGTTAAAATGTGTTTATATAAGTTGTAAGCTGTTTACATATGTTATACCGAAGAATTTACTAAAATTAGCTGAAAATAACTTTTGAACATATAAAACCTATTTAAGTTCTTCCAAACATTTATTGAAGTGCTTATGTCATAAAACAAGTACAACTAAACTGAAAATAACTTGCAAATACGTTCTTGAAATATTTTCTCTTTGCAATTTCTTTCCTTGTCATATGTCACCCATCATGAAATGTCTTAGCTAAAAGGAAAGTTTGTGAAGATTTTGTGAGGTAAGCAAATACACTGGATTGCATACCAGAAGTTGTTCTAGGTTACTATAAGTCTAATTAGATACAAGCTTAGAAGAACTTTTGAGAGTTTCTCTATTAAAAATAAAGTTTTTTTTTTTTTCTCTATTAGAACTTTCAAAAGTTCTTATAAACTTGTATTCAAAACGGTTCTAGATAACATTTACATTTAAGTTTTCAGAAACATAGTGAGCCTTACCACCTGATTGGCAAATCGTTTCAGTTTCTCAGCCTGGTTTGTTATCTTTCTCAAGTACAGCATGTGCTTTATGGTCCGTTCCAAGAGATTGTCAATGCTACACTGCACATCATAAGACCAAAGTTAAAAATTCTACCAAGTACAAAGGAAAACTCAAACAGACTTTTGTCCTGAAACACAAAAACTTACCCTACCACCATCTGGGACAAGTTCTCTCAACTCCTTCATCCTGTCCATGATCAGCTGTCTATCTCTTGGCCTTGACTTTGGGTTGTTACCACCTTTTGTTCTTCTTTTTCCTGTGCCAGAGTGCTTTGGTCCACAATTAGGCTGTATATGACTAGTAGCATTTTCCAGTCGTGCCTCGATCAATAAGCTTGCATTTCCATCAAAAGATGATGTAAAATGGGTCGAAAATTCATCTTTGCCCTTGACCATAACTGCAGGTACAAAATCATTTTTCACATCTGACTTATCCACAACCAAAGTTTTTTCTTCTGAATTATCTTTTAGCTGAATGGAACCGCTAAACACTGTTTGTATGGTTGTAAGAGACCTGACACTGTCAGATATACTTGAAGTATCATCAGAGGCACTGCATAAATTGCCAACAATAGCATCTAAAAGATATTCTGGATCAATATCATTGGGAAACTCAAACCCTTTAAAATGATCATGCTCTCTTTTATTGGTTACCAGAGTTTGGGTACTGTAAGTATCCTCAACAGAGACATATTTTGACATAGATTTGCCTGTCTCTCCATACGAAACTGATCCAAGTGCTTTGTGCAATTCAGACTGTGAGGGAAAAGTGAAGTCACTCACATTCTTAGTATCATCATCACTGGTTTCAGTGCCTCCAAATTGTTTCTTTGCCAAATTTTTAGCAGAGAAATACTCCAATCTATTTGACATCTCTCCAAATACTCCCACATTATTGGCCAAGTGAGACCAGGACCATATCTCTTCTTCCATATGATTTGGTTTTGTCTCCACCTTACAAATATGCCTTGCAACAGTTGACATGTCAATGGAAGAGGAACCTATCTCATTTTCATTTTTTCTTTTCAGAGACTTCAATATGTTTTCTCTAGACAAGCAACCATCATCATCCTGATAATTGAGTGCAGCAGTGCTAGTTGAGACTTCACTTTTCAATACACATTTTGTAACAGAAGACGAGTCGTCCAAGCTATCCATCAAATTATGCATCAGGTCTGAGAATGACCAATCTTGATAATCAGTCCCCAAATTTAAAGGTGTAGCATTTGCTTCCAAGCATTGAATGGAATGGAATTTCTCCTTTATATTGGTAACAAATTCCAGGTCTTCAGCAACCTACAATGTTGACAAGACAATATGCAATCATTTTAAACATAAATCAAAGATTTTCCACAAAAATACACATACTCTCACAAATCACAAACAAAAACAAATGCACCAAAATTTAATGTGATAACTCCACATTTTATATTATAATGTGCACCCCTCACTTTAAACGAGTCAAATACAAAATTTAAGATAGGGAACAAAATTGCCAGAATATGTAGCATGCGATATTAGATATGCATGCAACAGGATATCACAGCATTGTAAAACTCGAAGCCTGTCTTACTCAATCCAAATATAAATACGCACCGCTTCAACTGAACCGAACTGCAAAACCCCTAGCGAAAGAACTGGTACCAGGACAATGGTCTGTGACAGAAATTCAAATTATCAACTTAACATTTGCATTTGCTTGAATTGCCCTCATTAATAGCATACATGTTGTGTTAAGGGCTTAAGGCAAGCCTAATATAAGTTGATTAGTTAAGTCACTAGCAAACTAATTAGGACACAAGTAAATTGAAGAAGCCACTTATATAAAGGGAAGACATAATACCTTGATACCACATGCAAATTGAAGAATCCACTCATCAGGACACTGCAGAAGGAAAAGATTGCAGTTATTATATTTCAAAGCAGTATGGCTAATTAATCTTGCTTTTAAGTGGACATTGTATGCATAGAACCTCACCTCAGGGATTAAATCAGTGTCAAATTTACTGGTGAGAATATCATCACAGGAAACCCACAAATGATCCCTTGCGAGAGCTATTTTGCCAACAACCCTGACCAAATGATATCAAGTAAAATTGTTGAGTTTGCATCATCTTTATAGATCATAATACAAATAACAAATAAATAATCTGGTAGACAAGAATACTACAATTAATTTAGCATCCTATCCTTCCCCAAAAAAAACCTACAAAGGTGCTAGTGCTACTTTTGACATCATACACACAAAGAAAGTAACATGCAGAACCACTAGAAACATAAGTTGTCCGGGGCTCAATTGAGAAACATGCATTCAGTATTTGTCAAATATAAAACATAGATTATCTTCATATAATTTTAAACTAACTCCTGATGTGAATATGTACAACAATTTAAGGAAATTAAAGAAGGAAGCACTCCCCCTATTTCAAAATAATTGTGGCTTAAGGTTTCCACCAGGAACTAAGGAAAACATCAAATGTTTCCAATTAAGAGACTAAAGCAGACTAGGATAATCTTATGAAATGTAGTTAATACTTTTATAGTTTTCTAAAGTGAAAATTATTCTGAATCATATGGAGCAATTTGCAACAAAGATTAGATATAAAAACTACTATAAAACCAAAGTTGTTACCCTTCTCCCAAACTGTATTTACGATGAGACATTTCAATCATGAGTAGTTGAGCCGAATAATCTCCTGAATAATCAGTATTTTCACCGCTTGAAGAATGTAACTCATTCGAGGATTGGAAATTGATGTCACCCCACGTACTTTTCTCAGCATCTTTCTTCTGGTAACCATTTTCCCAGGCCAAAGTCCTAAAATATACAGATCTGTGTTATATTATTATATCCACTAGACCTCTAACCGTAAACAGCAAACATTATTTCATTCAACATACTAATAATAAGCCAATTACAAGTGATAAGTAACACACTGGATGGGATGGTGGACATCGATTTTACTCATTATCTTAACTATAATAGTTCAATATTTGCTTGCTTCAATGGTCACCAATACAGTAATGTGGTTAATTTCCAATCCGATCAAACGGATTAGATTTTGCTTCTCAACAAAAGCTTGGTGAAAATAAGCTTTTAGGACATACTACCTCTTGGTCCTTCATATAAGACACGATAGATAGTATACTATTTATTAGATAAAAAGAAGCTTGTAGACAATTTTCAGCTAATAATCCAATTAATTTTCATCCCTTTTTAAAGAATTATATAATCAAACTATTAAGATGAACATGACTCAATTTAGAGAGTCAATTCTATCATTCTCTTATTTAGACAACAATAACGCTATTAACAATTCTACTCATTCTAAAACGTGGCATATGAGCACAAAAACAGAAGCAACTCAATGGCCAAATAACTTACATAGGAAAATGGTGGTCAAGTTTCCAAAAGACAGCATATTTCCACTGTGTGTGATCACAAAAGCCCTTCAACAACTGCGTTATAGAAGTGGCTTCCATCTGTTCTACTTTCCAGGACTATGCAAAACAAAGAAGAAACACAAAAGACAAACCCACTAATAACCTGAAACACACACCTAGCTTCCTCTGTATGAACCCCTACCCGCTTGTTTAATTCTCAAACCCGCTCTTCTTTTGATCGGTGGCCCTGTTGCACTAAGGAGCATGAAAACAACCATAGCTTGGCTCTTCCAACACAAAACTATGAGAAAGTATGTGTTTTGAGCCGTGCTGTCACAATCAATGATGACCAGATGTGCTCACTATTTCCATTTTCTGTGCCATTTTCAAGCAACTTTCAGCCGAATTTCAACAAAGTGCTTTAAGAAGAAAAGCCCCAAACTAGAATTAAGCTTCAAAACAGCTCAACAAAGAACACACATCCTGCAAAACCAAAGCACAAAACTTTCGTCAGTAATTTGACCAAAAAGTCTGCTTGATCGCTGGAAAATTTTCTGGGAAAGAAAATAACTAGAAGTCAACTCTACAAATGAAGAATCCTAGGAATTCCAATACTACACTTTGCTCACTCAATGAAAGAACCAACCCAAAAATAAAAATCCTATTTTTCTCTCTGATTCATTTTCTCAGCAACCAAAGGATCACATTTGAGCAATAATACTGACAAGACAACCCCCCCTATGCTGATGATGATGCTTACCACTTCTACTGTTGACTGTGGAATCAAAGAATTTCACCATACACAAATTCATTACACTCCATGAGAAAGAAGCCAAGTGAAACTCTCCCACCCACTTAAAAAGAAGAGATTTTGATGGATAATCAATGACCCAAGAATGTAGAAAAAGTGAGAAAAGAAGAGAGGGGTGGCACTTTGTCTTTTGCACTAAAACAAAAGTCCACAGAAGCCACAAAACTTTGATTTTTTTTCTACTATTCTACATGCCAACAGCAACAAGAACAGCACAACCCTTTATATAAAAATCACGTCATTGGCATTCTCATAGTTTTACTTTGCGGACTTGAAAGTGATTCAGAAGTGGATTTGATAAAATGGGGTGAAGCAAAGTGGGGAGGGGACCCCACCGACAGGGACACTGACAGTGACAGAAGCTGCTTATGATTCTACTGCACTTTGGAGCGCGTCGGAAAAGGAATTTCCACTTTCTAATGACATTAACAGTAACAGTAACATAGACAAGTTCTGTTCCGCTTGAATCTTCTCCTCGGGATTCTCTCTTCGTTGCAAAAACTCATTATTGCACATTGCCCAAAGAAACGAAACACAGTAATGTAATATACAGTATACTGACAAAACAAAACAAAAATATAAAAAAAGAAGAAAATTATGTGAAATTAAACATTAATATTCTAGTATTCAATGATTTAGAAAATATTAAATATTGATAGTGTGTTTGAAAGAAAAATTTTATAAATTTAAAAAATTTTAAATTTTGGGTATTTAAATTATTTTAATTTTTATTATTTTTAAAATATTTTATTTAAATAAATAAATTTCTTTTTTTTAATTTTAAATTATTAGATTAAATACGATATTTTGATTTTATTATAATAAAATTGATTTTAAAAATATAATATTATATTAAAATTTTTAAATTAAATTTTATAAA